TTTTCTTTATCAATTTATCCATTGATGGACACCTAGATTGTTTCCATGTCTTGGCTATTACAAATAATGCTGGAATGAACATGGGGGTACAGAGAGTTCCTTGAGATAGTGATCTTGTTTCTTTTGTATATACACCCAGAAGTGGAATTGCTGGATTATATGGTGGTTCTGTTTTTAATTTTTTGAGGAACCTCCATACTGTTTTCACATAGTGGCTACATTAATTACATCCCCATCAACAGTGCAAAAGGGTTCCATTTTCTCTACATCCTTGCCAACACTTACCTCATTGTGTGTGTGTGTGTGTGTGGGTGACGTGGTATCTCATTGTGATTTTGATGTGCATTTCCCTGATGATTATTGATGTTGAGCACCTTTTCATGTACCTATTGGCTATTTGTATGTCTTCTTTGGAAAAATGTCTACTTAGTCATTCTGCCTGTTTTTAAAGTGAAATTTTTTTTTGCTATTGAGTTGTATGAATTCTTTATATATTTTGGGTATTAACCCTTTATTAAATATATGATTTGCAAATATTTTATTCCATTCATTAGGTTGCCTTTTCATTTTGTTAATGGTTTTCTTTGCTGTACAGAAGCTTTTTAGTTTGATGTAGTCCCACTCATTTTTTTTTTTTTTTTGCTTTTGTTGTCTTTGCTTTTAGTATCAAATTAAAAAAAAAAATCATCACCAAGACCAATGTTAAGGAGCTTACCCTCTATGCTTTATTCTAGGAGTTTTATGGTTTCAGGTCTTAACATTTAAGTCTTTAATCCATTTTAAGTTGATTTTTTTGTATGGTGTAAGAAAGTGGTCTAGTTTCATTCTTTTGCATGAGGCTGGTCCAGTTTTCTCATCACCGTTTATTGAAGAGACCGTCATTTTTCCAATGTATATTGTTGGCTCCTTTGTTGAAAATTAATTGACCATGTATGCATGGGTTTATTTCCGGGCTCTCTATTCTCTTCTGTTTATCTATGTATCTGTGTTTATGGCAGTATCATATTGTTTTAATTATGATAGCTTTGTAATATAGTTTGAAGTCAGGAATTGAGATGCCTCCAGCTTTGTTCTTCTTTCTCAAGATTGCTTTGGCTATTCAGGGTCTTCTGTCTATCGGAGTATTAATAACATTCAGTGTAGCACAACTAGTTATAAGACAGTTATAAGACAGACTTTGATATTTAATCCTCCAAATTGATTGTAAACCCCTTGAGAGCAGTTGATAAACTCACAGATATATTTAGTTGACTAACTTTGTTTAAGGTTTTATTTAGTTGCCTGGTGTTCTCCTTGCAAGAATTAGAGGGCTGGCATTGGTCTGTGCAAATGCAGGAGCCAGTCCTGAGTCAATGTATATGTGATTTATTCACAGGCTATTTAACATAGACATCAGTCTATGATAACTAAGCTAATTTTATTTTTAGTTGATTTTTCTACCTCCGGTTTCCTTTTCTACCTCTGGTTTTCTCTTCTACCTCTGACTTTCTCATACTTTTAGTTGCAAAAGGTAAAGATTTATTGACATTTTTATTCCCAGTCTTTGCTAACTTCCTGGTTGCAGCTTTTATGTAGAAGGAAGCAATCTTTTCCTCTTTGTCATCATCGTGAAAACTTTTTTCCTTATAATGGAATGTAAGTGGGTATAAGTAGTTCACAGCACATAGTTTAACATTAATCTGGTTTTACATTTCTTTCTGTCAACATTAGAACAAAGTTTTTACATCATCTGGCAGAAGCTTACTAGCAGATATTTTGTCAGAGTCTTCCTCATTGCCTTAGAGAAACCTAATGCCGAGGGACTGTACACTTTGGGTGACTGCTTGTGAATAGGGCTTTCTTTTGGGAGTAGTAGCATAATATGGTGTGGCTCTTGGGGAGAGGTTGGCTTTTCAGAGCAAAGGCAGGGCAGAGCCACCTAGTGATTAGGAGCAAAGACTAAGCTGTGGCTTTGTCACTTACTAGGGAATGACCTAGGACAAATCCCCTACTCTCTTTGAACTGCAAGTGCCTCTTTTATGAAATTAGGATGTTGTGAGGGTGATATGAGCTGATATATATAAAGAATTAAAAGCATGGTACCCATTACCTAGCAAATAACTCAATAAATGTTAACTATTGTCATTATAACATTATGATGGTGATGATCATTATCATCATCATCTTGGGAGAGTCAGGTGAAGCCGACTGATTCTGTGCTTTTGTAAGAGTGATTTATTCATTACAAACAGCTAGATTATCTTGTGGATAAATTTGATCACAATAGAAATAATAATATTTAAGCATAGGTTATTTTATGAAAATACTGAAAAAAGAAACTTTATTATAGCCAATATTATCAATAACTCTGCAAAATAATATGTCAATGCAGTTCTTCCATCGTATTTGTGGCTCACTGAGAAAACGCATGAAGATATCCTCCTTAGCAAGTTTTGGTTTCAGGAAAATCAAATTGAGGCAATATAATAAGGTGAGCAGGGAATGTAGGGAGCTACACAACTGGAAAGACTAGCTCCAAACTTAACTGGCTGAATGAACACCTCTGCTGAGACACTTTATGACTGTGTTGTATAACATCCCTCAGTTAGCTATATTGATGTGTAGTGTCCTTTGTGAGGTCATCAATAACATTATCAACAAGACAGAAGCAATGATACTGAGCTAAAGTCAACCACCTACAAAACTCACATCCAAGGGCCTGCCAGGCTGCTATCTATTTGGGGTGGGCACAGGCATTGTTTAGGTAATTAGAACTAGGTCTCTATTCTCTGTCTCTAATTGTCAGGGAAGCCCAGTTAGCCAGGGGATAGCATGCTGTCTCCGGGCTGCTAGGGTTGCTGTTGTGCGATAGGCAGCCATATGAACATCTATAGCAGTACTAGGAATGGTGATGCTGAGCCGTGACAAAGGGGTGCCTTCCAAGTTGGCTCAATTGCTGTTTTTGCCATCAGAACAGTTGTGGACGTTAGGTTTTTCTTAGGGTTGACTGAATGATGAATGGAAGCCCCAGCCAACATACACCAACTCTTTTGCATAACTTGGGAGAGAGGGGATGGTTGATGCAGAGAAGGGATGGGAAAGAAGAGACCTCCAGCAGTAAAGAACATACGCATGTGAAATATTTTTCTGGTGAGAATCTTAAAAATAAAGATGAGTCTTAGAATTTAGGAGTTTGTCAGAAAAGAATGAGATCAGAAGAAAAATAAACTTTTAAGAAATGCCAGCTTTTATTTTAGTATATAATTTATAGTATTCCAAAATGGATTTTCTGTAGAGTCATAGTTGCCAACTGCACTTGAAATTCTTTGATTTAGGATAGTTATGCTAATAGATTCTATTCAGTCAACATGAACTCAAACTTTTTTTTTTTAATATATAAATTTATTTATTTATTTTTGGCTGTGTTGGGTCTGCATTGCTGCACGTGGGCTTCCTCTAGTTATGGCGAGTGGGGGCTACTTTTCGTTGCGGTGTGCGGGCTTCTCACTGCAGTGGCTTCTCTTGTTGTGGAGCACGGGCTCTAGGCGCGCGGGCTTTGGTAGTTGCGGCACATGGGCTCAGTAGTTATGGCTCGCGGGCTCTAGAGCGCAGGCTCAGTAGTTGTGGCGCACGGGCTGAGTTGCTCCGCGGCATGTGGGATCTTCCCAGACCAGGGATCGAACCCGTGTCCCTTGCATTGGCAGGTGGATTCTTAACCACTGTGCAACCAGGGAAGTCCCTGAACTCAAACATTTTAACTGTATCGTAATTTACGTTGAGATACTATATGTTTTTTACTATCCTAGGTTAAAGTTGACTTCATATTAAATAATTTGAGTTGTGAGATATCTGTAAAGCATAAGATATGTTGTCCAGACAGGTCAGAACTCCACCCATTCAGGAAAGTAGGGTAGTGGCTTCCCTGTAACACTTGGGTGTGCCAGCTGCTTTTGTAAGTGAAAGACTTAGGCAGGTCAAATTGCTAAATATCAACTCCAAGTTAGAATTGTTTTTAGGTGATCACACAGTGTTATTGTTTTTTTTTGTTTTTTTTTTTTTGTTTATCAGAATAAAAGGGAGTAAGATGTTTTTCGTTGGAATTTTTATTTTTTATTTATTTTATTTATTTATTTTTTTGGCTTCTGAAGAAGTTAGACTATTTAAGTCCTCAAAAAAAAAAATTAAGAAATTCCATCAATCCAATAGTGGAATTTTTTTTTTTTTTAACAAGTGAGAAGAAAGAAAGTCAAGAGCTAACACAGTACAAGACTTTATTTAGAAATATACAGTGAGCACGAAGGAGTGCTTGATCTGGAGGGTTTCCCCTTGAAATTTTGGTGCCATGCAACTCTGGCTAGAAGAAACCTTTTTTTTTTTTTTTTTAAGTTCCCTTAATGAAAGGAATTATAGCAGTGTTATATCTGTCATTTTGTAGAAGGATCATGGCATGGTTTTCTTTTACTTTTTATCTGTAAAGTGTAGACTCTTCCAGGGATAGAAATGTAAATGTGTTGGCTTTTGGTTTTAGTGAGAGCTTTATTCTGAAGGGAAAAACTCAGGAAGGGAGTTGTTACCAGAGTGGAATTCAACACTTGCCAAAGAACCCAAAGCAGGCATGAGGTTCATTGTCCTGTTGAGTGACAGAAGACTTCCACCAGTTCTTTTTGTGGAGGGGATTAGTGGTTGAACAAATTTGCAAGTACAGCATGCAGTTTTGTCAGGTACACATTTCTTTTCACAGCTCTCTTGACTTTATACTATGTAAATAACCTCAGTTGTCTCTGAATTTTTCTTTCTTTCATTCCTATTGGATGGTCATTTTATAAAGTCAGTTTCTTGGTTTTTTTGTGTATTGTTTTTGAATTGTGGTATACAAATTGGTATGTTAACAAATTCCTTATTGTGTGTTTTCTTTTCTAGTTTAACATAATTTCATAATCTAGGCAGTCTCTTTTTGTTATTGGATTATTATGTGATAAAAATCCCAAATAACCTTTTTGTTTCTTTTTTTGTCTCTGTAGGCTAAGAAATGGCATTTCAAAAGGCAGTGAAAGGGACTATTCTTGTTGGAGGAGGTGCTCTTGCAACTGTTCTAGGCCTTTCTCAGTTTGCTTATTACAAAAGGAAGCAAGTAAGTAACTGTACCTGTATTGATTATAATATGAAACAAATCTGTTAAAGAACTGTGTATGGGGCGTGTGTAGGCTAATGGTATTGTTTAGAAATTACTGTCTCAGCTTGATCTGAAAAAGACACTAATTTAGAATACTGCCTTAATGATCCTTGAGAACTGTGTATATCTCATTTTTTAAAAAGTAAATTTCTTTGTCAGAAAGCATTATATTATTTAGCCTCTGTTTTGGCTCTTTGGTTTTAAAAGACTGCTTCATTTTAGAGTGCCAGGGTTTATTCATTTATACTTTCCTTGTCTAATTCATCCAAATGTCTGGATACCTTCTATGTTCCTGCCAAGAGTTTGTCTTATTAGAAGGCAGGCAGCTGAGAAAGGAAATGGAAAAGAAAGAGCCTATACAAAAGACTCAACTCGGAATCTTGGGTTTATTTCTGAAAGGTTTAGTTACTTATGTAGTATTATTACTTTATATTGGGGGAAATTTTTAGTGGGAGAAAGCTATGAAAATGAGACTGGTATGAAGTTTCCAAATAATTTAAAGTGTTCAGTTTATTTTCATTTTGGTTTTTTTTTCCCCTTTGCACTACAACTATGCCTTCCCATAGTTCAAATTGATGCCAGGAAATAACTTTGGTGAATGGTTTTGTTCTTTGCAGGCTTGGAATACTAACCTCAGTAGTTAGTATTAATCTCCTGTTCCCCCTTCCCTATGTCATTAAGGCATTTTGTGATACTAGTTGGTTGGTGCATTCCCAATTCAAAGATGGAGGTGAAGGAATTTGGGAAGCTATTTGTAGCTGGGCTATCTATGAACTACTTACATCCTACATTTTTGTGAGAACCTTTAAGACCTGCCTAGGCTGTCTTGTACATGTTGTTTCTGTTTCTTTGTGCTACATGGTGGCGGAGCCAGCCATGTTGCTTGGAGTCCCATGTCCTGAATGGGAAATACCACATTAAAAGCACATATTAAGAAGAATCAATTTGCTGGCTTATAAATAAAAAAGAAGCTAATTTCTAGTGCTACCTCCTAAAGGTGGACGATATTGAACAGGTTGTGCTGTTTTTTTTCATTCTTAACTGTGAGCACATTACTCTTAAGGTTTCCCTAGGTATACACGTTGCAGGTATTACTGACTCGCTGTTGAAGCTCATTCTCACCTGCTGAA